TTGCATTAAGATTTTAAACCCAAAATTTACCTTGGGGGAGATTTTGCAATCAAATAAAAGAAAAATAGGGGAAAAAAATGTTGGACAACAATATGAGGTGAAAAAAATAAAAAGGGATTTGGATAAAACAAGAATTCTCTTTATTTGTTTCAAAATTTGGACATTCTAATACAAAGTCATCCATTATATTGCTAAAGACAATGGTGTTTTCAACAGAATATTCCAGGAATTGATCCTCATCGAACATTGTACTTTCAATCTCTTCTTCATGAGAATCCAAGAAAAATGCAGTTTGAATTGATGGTTCATCTTCTACCATGAGATTTTCCTCATCAGAACCACAAAATTCCCTGTTTTCTTCAACGCCATTGCTTCTAACTGTGATCCAGTCCTCGCCCCAAGTCCAATCCGGCAGCGAAGAACTCCCGGTCATGTCCTTGATTCTCTCCGCTAGAGAGTTCGAAGAAGAATCATATGTATTGATCAGGTTCCTGGGACTTTCCAAAACCTCCATTGAATTCCAGAAGCATTGATCCAATACAGAATTTGGAGAAATTGTTTCTTCCCCTGAATTCGGCTCTGTATCCTCCAAAAATGGATGCTTGAGTAATTCTTTAGCTGTCCATCGGTCCTTTGCATCTCTCTTCAGGCATTTCCCCAAGAAATCTTTACCTTTCTTGGAAAACCAGATTGGAATCTCCGGTGTGTCACCGGAAAATCCGATCTTGTAAAGTGCTGGCACAGGATCATTCAGCTCCGGCCACGGTAAATTTCCAGTACCCATCTCTATGATCGTGCACCCAAGAGCCCATATGTCCGCCGCAAACCCCTGTTCCTCTCCCCGTGCCACCTCCGGTGCCATGAACGCCGGTGTGCCGGAAAACCCTGATGTTGCAACATCTCCCACCAATTTAGCACAGCCCAGGTCGGCGATTTTGGCACCGGATTTACCCAACAGTATATTTTTGCTCTTGATGTCACAATGTGCCAAGCCATTGATATGAAGGTATTCCAAACCTTGTACAATCTGTTGAGTGTACAATCTGATCGTCTCCTCCTCCAGCCTGCCTCCACGCTGCCGAATTTCATCAGAAAGTGTGCCGTCGGGAACATACTCCATGCAAAGATTGTACATAGACTTATTATCCTCATTGGTAATACCACAACCCATGTACTTGACTAGGTGGGGTGAGCTCAAATTGGACAAGAAATGTTGCTCTCTTTGCAAGAACATGGACCGGGACAGCTCGGTGGACTTGATGGCTAGAAGCTCACCGGAGGGGACAGAAGTGGCTAAAGAGACGGTGGCCGTGGCGCCGCGGCCAATGGTTGGTCCTCTAATCCACTCCATTAATTTGGGGAAGAAATAGAAAAAAGGGGAGAAATTTGAAGGGAAATTTTGCGTTGCTTTGATCCAATGCAATGGGGATATGTATATTTATATGGGGTGACTTTTGTACCTTGGGTTTTGGTAACTTAATACAATGCATAACTTGTAAAGTTACAACTAACAAGATTCTTTATTACCCTGTCCTGTTCTCTAATCTTTTTTATCCTGTAAGAAGGCCAAATGTGAAATGGAGAATGTGTATGGCCAGCTCTGACCGTCATTGGACGGCGTTGGCTTTGGATTCCAACATGGCCATTCACACGACGATACGTGAGCGCGTGCCTTAATCACGCAATTAATGGTGGAATATCCCTTTGTTTAAGGAAGTGACTTTGCGGCAACCAAAGTTTTGATGTTGTGAACCGCTTTGCAATGCCATTGTTTAGCTTGGTATCCAAGCTGTCATTATGCTTCCACCTCGTATGAATGCATAATGCCAAAAGTTGACTGCCATCTTAGTCTTTATATGGTCATGTGGGACGAACGCATTGTTAATTCAATGACAAACTACTTATTTACTAACATTTGAATCCTAAATTATATAAATTAACAAAAATTATGATATCATATCAATAATAGTTTAACTTTAAAATTTAATCAAACAAATAAAAATAAAATAAGTACTTTGTATATATTAATAATTAAAAAATAATAAAAAGTCTTGACTGTCTCCTTATTTAATGAGTTTTATTTTATTGTTTAAATTACAAAATAAAATTCTCTAATAACTATTATCTAAAAAATGATGGATATGACTTATGAACGCATATTAAAGAATAATATACTAGTTTGGTTTTATGTTGGCTATGGTAATCATGAGAGCATGCATGAGTATCTCCGTGTTAGTTAAGTAACTTATAGAGACTGTTAACTATATTGGGGAAATGGAAGCTGAAAATTATGTGAAAGAGACTGCGTTCATAGTATTTGACTTAAAGCTTCCGAAATCCAACGCAACATCTGAAGAAAAGGGGTAAGGACCACCTAAAAAGCCGATGAGACTAAAATTTGGAAGCTAATTTGGCATGTGAAGAACAGCCAAAACTTTGGATATAATCAATCTGTTTTTATTTCCAATAAAGTTGCATAATTGGTTCTTTTGATTGGAGGAAACCAAAGCAAAAGTAAGGATCAAAGGGGTGGAAAGTTGGGGTTTTTGAGTCACAAATAGAGGGGGTGAAGGATTGAAGATTCCTGACGAGTGGAATTGAGTGAGCTTGAAGCAAATTCTAAACCGTATGAAAGCTGCCTTTCCTTGCCGTCCTACATTAGATTACCCAATATTGTTCCATGATGGACACTTTTTTAGTGTTTTCTGGTTCTGCCCTTTTCAGCTTGTGTCGGGGTGCGGTGGCCTTATCCTTTGCTCTGTTTCTGGGGCTGTGTAGTGTGTACCCTTTACAGCAATATACCCACCAAGGAAACTTGAGCTTTGGAGTTTTAACATTTTACCTTTGATCTGAAATCAGGTTATGGAAATTGATTTCTATCTCTAATCTTTACTTCAAAATCAAGATTCCTTTAGATGAACACATACTAAGGCTTAGCCTTAATTAACGGATCAAATGCTGCTGCCCATACTTTGTACTTAGATAGCTGCTTTTGTTTGCGTTTCCAACCAAGAACTCACTACTGTTCTTATTGCATATACATGTAAAACACACCTGCCTCAATCTGTATCAGGACAATCTTATGATTGGTGATGATTAACATATTCATGTCCATGTGATTAACGTCTTTCAATATGATTAGATTCCCCTTTCTACCTATTAATGAGCAAATCAGCATTGTTTATTTGCCAAGAGAAATCTGTTTCGTTTTTCTTTTACTACTGATGTTCATGCATCAAATCTTGCTGGATTTAACTTTAGCAAGACTTAGAATGAACCACTACCCAAACAGAAACATGCTATAGATCCAACATAAAAGCAAAACAATTCAGCAATCTTGGTACAATGCATGTAGTGTAATCATGAGAAGCCAAATCTATTATGATAATAGCAGAATCCAGCCTCTGATTTTTATATTTACTTTAGACAAACATACGGCAGGTACCAATCTGGAGAGTTTTGATGTGCTAGCACAATCATTAATGTGATCACAAACCATACGCTCACCTGGTGCAGGTATTTACATGTAATCCGCACCTGAGGCTTGATCACAAAACCTAATAGGTAATAATTAAGGTGTTAGAGCAAAAGAGAACTGTGTTATGCAGCTTCAGCAAATCCAACCCTCATGTTCCCATAGTCAAATACAGTATGGAATTGACCCATGAAGACATCCCCCAAGATCCTGCAATGCAATAAATATTAGTAAGATTAAGACAATCTCCAAGGATATTTGCAAGGATTTGGATTAGGCATTGTGAATCTATAAATTGAAGGTTAAAAAATACCAGAGAGGTCCACGGGGAGGTGGCACATCCAGCGCCATAAATCCACTAATGCATTGAGCAATATCTCCCTCACCCACTTTGAGGACATACTGATTCCCATCACCAGGGAGAAGAAAGAAAAAGATGAGTGAAAATAAAAACTAAAATCCTCATTCCATCCAAGTCAACATCAGAGATATTAACCACATTTATCCAAATTTCACTGAGAATATCATTGCCATCCATGTATGATCTAACACACAGTTGGGGAGATGGATAAGAACCCAAAAACAACAACTATTTTACTGATGTTCTGTATATTGCATATTTTATGCATTCATATATTTCTGGCAAATGATAACCTTAAGTGCCACCATTTTTCTTCTCGTTTTCTATATTATTAGAGACATGAATTCGGTGCTTCTAACTACAACATTAATCAATTAGAAGACACCAGGAAATTTAAACGTCACCTAAAATTCTCCACTATCATTATGCTATGAGGAATGCTAAGGACACTGTGTCTAACACTCTCCTCTGGATACTCTCCATGTGATTGGGACACGTGGCACAAATTTGATGTGATTGGTCATAATTTCAAAATTTAAAAACATCAACTTTAATTTCAATCACTAATCACCAATCACATTAAATTTATGTGCCACATGGCCCAATCACATGGAGAGTGTTTAAAAGTGAGTCTCCCTAGCACTCCTCTTATGCTATTTCTCTACTTTCCCTAGCTTTCCTTTTGTTTCACCATTAGTTGCAAGAGGAGAAATGAAATAAAGCAAATGGAATACCCATAGATAATTAGGAATGAATAACAATGCATGGTCCCAAGAGAACAGCAAGCAATTGTTAAAAACTGAATTACTTTCTACGGAAATGATAAGAATATTAGGAATCAACTTGTTCTAAAGACAGCTAGTTCTCCCTTTCCTTTAGTTAATTTCCCCATTTTCTCCAGTTCAAGCTTTTGTAATTGCATGAGAAGGACAAAACACTAAAAGAAAATCCAAAGTAGTGCATAATACCTGCTCGGGACTGAGGTCAAATATCTTTCCCCCAATTGTAAAAGACACCTTAGGCATAGATGATAGACTGTGACAATCAACTACAGATTCTCCCATTGGACTGGGCAACCGATCACAAAGCTACAATTGCAAATTAGGGAATGAGCAAGCACAAAGTCTAAGAAGTAAAAGTATACTGATAGGTAAGAGAATAGATTTTATTTCACCTCATTGATGTAGTTAAGTATACGATCCTGTGTCTGGTTCTGCCTAAGCTGGTTCTGCATCCATACAACTGCCATCTCACAAGTAGAACACATTGTATCACGCAAACCACCAGATGCTTTCTGATTCTTCTCATCCACCACACTTGCAATGCCCATACTGAAGATCACATTTTCAAAATTAAGGGGTTGAATAAATAAACATATTCAGAAAGATATAGAACTTTCTTGGTTAAACTATTCATTTGAATCACAAGAGAAATATGTATGCAGTACCTCCAGATATGCAGCAGCCAGAAAAGGAATAAAAAAGAAGAAAGAAACAGGAAGATTGAGTCTAACCTTACACCTTGGCTCCCATCAAATGTGCACAAACCAATTTGTGAGCAAATTTTTTTAGGTTGGTCCTGCCATACATATGATAAAACAGATGAATTACAAGCTTCAACATTCAATTTAACATCTTCAATACCTTGAAGCAACCCATAAAAAAATCATGTACCTTTGCCAAAAGCATCTCAATAATGGTTTCCCCATATTGGGAAACTACAAGCTTGCATTCTTGACTTACGAGACCAGTGGCTCCAATAGCATGGTTGACTTCAGCAATAATAGCCTGAAAATGAAATATAAAATGTTCACCAGGCATAACCAACTTGTTTGTTATCGAATATAGCTAATGCTTCAAACAGGACCAACACCAAATCTATGACTATTAAGCAAAGATTTATAATCTCCCACATGAATTATTGGCTTATCTTTTTGGGCTAAGGTATTAAATACATAATAGGAACCAGGTTAGTTGTTGCTCTATATTTCGCCCATCAATTTTTTGTTGATTGAATGCAGCACCCCCTTGCTTTATGATTTCAATAGTTAACAACTACAAGCTTAAACAGAAAACATACGCACCGTAGGACCAGCCAACAAAGAGGTTCCAGAATCAGCAATTGCAGTACAGCCACTGGCACAAAATCCTGAAACAAATATACCAAGGTATGGGAACAGTAAAATGCTAAGATAATAGCATTTCATATCACTAGGAAGAGAGCAACAAACAGAAGATTTTCTTACCAGTTGTTTGTCCATCAACCAAGACATCACCCATATCAAACTGAAAGTAAAAGGCCATGGTAGAAAATAATATTCAATAAGTAAGAAAGACCGAATAGCATGCACAACAGCGTGAAGGTTTAGAATCCTGACCTGCCAGTATCCTTTCTGTGTCACAGGAACATATGCATGCTCACCCTTATAATGATTTGGATCAACACCACCAAAAACAAGTTCACCCCCTTGTTCTTCATTGGGGTCACGATTGAACCAAAATGAGAAAACAGGCTCCTTTACAAGACCTTGTTCAACCATATTGTACCTATTGAGTCATTGACATTTAGAATAAGAAATCTACACAATGTCTCAACATCCTTAAACTATAAGACGTCCTTAAGTTATTAACATGTAATTACAGTAAAAATGATACTGCATGGTACATACCACACAGGGACAGCATTCCCAACAGAAATCTCTTGAAACCCAAGTCCAAGTATTCCATCAAACTTAGCAGCTATAAATGTGACACTGGGCTCCCTGGTTGCCTCAATAAATTCCTGAAAATTGGAAACAAGAAAAACTAACACTCTCAGAAATACGGGCCACAAATAACAGGCAAGAACTGTATTAAATTGAATAAAAAAATATAACTATGGTCCATTGGCACCTGGTCTTTAACCACAAGATCACCAACTTGTACATTGTCTTGGCTAAAGAAACCAGAAATAGCTCCAGTCCCATATTGGATTTCAGCTGGCTTACCTGCACATGGATAAATCAAAATATCCTTCTGTCATCTTGATGAAAGTTTCTCCAGTTATGGAGACAAAGCTATTCTATTCAAATGTGCACATGCATGCTTAATCCTCAGAAGTTTAGGAAACTGATGTAATGTTTACAATTAGACAATAACATAGCAATAGGATGGTCAAGGGAACAGAACATATAATGCCTAAATCCTACCAATGCATGTTATTTTAATCACATATGTCAAGCAATCCAAAATAATAGCCAGGGCATTTGGGCCAAAAACCAATGACAGCAATGATGCAAACATGCTACATGAAACAAATGTTAAAGAGTCACAAGCATGAAAATCAAAAGACACAAATTTCATGAATTCTGAAATGAACAAGCAGCAGGAACCAACCATTCTTCGTGTAGGTACTTGAATGGGTTGACTTATACTTTGAATGGAAATAACAAGCTATCTGCAAAGGAATGAGAGCAATATATAAGAGGTATTCAAATTGTAAGTACTTCCTCAGCTTTCCCAATAACAAGTTAAGGCAAAGAAACTCACCGAGAAATAACACTTCGCTGATGGCACCCACAGATTAGAACTGCCAGTGTCGAAAATCACAGTGAAAGTTTGTGCAGGTGTGCCGATACCTATTTCACCAAAGTACTGAGCATCCATGTAGTTCTTTAAAGCTACAATATCAATATCCTCAGAACCATCCAAGCTCCCCTGAAGATGGTACTTCCTAATAGAAGCTTGCAATGCCTCTTCTCCTTTAGAATCAAGTCGAGCAGCTAGCCGGTTGTTTGGATCCAGCTTCCTCTTTTTAAGTCCAATTTTGACCAATCCACCATTAGGTGTGGAAAGGGTATCAGGTAAGAGAATGGAGCAAAGGAAGAAAACAATACTAACAGTCCTTAAAACCGCCCCCATGTCGAAAACTGCAAGATTTAAGATAATATAATCTACAATTAGATTAAATATAATCAGAACCAGAGTATACTACTAAAATAATGATTCTATAGGCCATTTCTATGCAGGAAAAGATTGAAACCAGTAATATTGTGTAAATAGAAGCTATATCCATATCAAAGCACACAACTTTACGATGGATTTATGTCAAACCTGTTTTATTTCACACAGAAATTTTCTCAGAAACACTTTCGATTGCAGAGAGTGTGACAGACCCAATTAGATTAAAAAAATTTATTAAAAAAAATCCTAATTACGTCAAAACAGTTACTTTACACATAATCAAGGGAAAGTGTTAGTTTTTCAGGTCTCAAACACTAAAACTACGTCAGTTTCTCAGCAACCAAACATAGTCACCAAAGAGCATAGGATTAATCCGCAAAAAATAAATGAAAAATTAAACAAAAATGATAAAAGAAGTTCCGAAGATCATCGCTAATTACAGATAAGATTATAATGGAAAGCAAATCAATTTTTTAAAAAAGTACTAAAAGCACTTACAGTTCGCTGGTTATCGACGCACAGAGTGGATGAGGAGAGAAAAAGGTTGAGGTATACGTCAGAAGAAACAAGAAATCTATTTTTTATAGGCTACAATTAGATCTTTTTTCTTAAAGGACAAAAAGTCCAAATAAGCCTACAAACTTTTTTTTTTAATCAAATAAGGCTACAAACTTCTTCTTTCTTAGCAAACCAGTCATTCATCTAATCATCTTTGTCTTCTTGAAGAAATAATCTCAAATCTTAGTGTATGACCACAAGATAACAAAAGGAACATGATCACAACAGACATGTGACTCTTAATGTGTCATTTGCTTGATAATAATAATGCTTTATTAGTTAAAAAATCTTGATAACTTACTTTTAAGAATAAAATTTTAAATTCAAGGAACAATATGACCATATGGAAAATTTTTAATGTTTTTCATAATTTAATATGATTAAACTCTTTTTCACCAAATCAAGAATAAAATCGAATTTGATTGTTATGGGAATAAATCTCAATTTGAAGAGAATATTATGTTAAAATCTCTTTTTAACCCCTTTATTTTAACAAAAAGTCTCTTTTTAGTTTTTTTTACTAAAAAAAACCTATTTTTAATTCCTAAAATTTAAAATTTAGCTCCTTTTTAGTCATTTCATTATCTTTTTACATAAATACACATTTGATAATGGAAATTCCAAAGCTAGGAGCTAAAAATGGGGTTTTTAAGTAAATTGACCAAAAAGGGACTTTTTTAAAGTAAAGGGACAAAAAAAAAAGCTTTTTTAATTTCCTTTTATTATTTTACTTTAAAATTTCTGTCATCTAATATGTTACAATAGAAAAAGTAATGAATAGACTAAAAAGAGGTTGGACCTTAAACTTTAGGGACAAAAAAGAAGTTTTTTCAGTAGAGTGACTAAAAATGAGTTTTTTTTTTTTGTTAAAATAGAAAGATTAAAATGGAGTTTTAATTGAGAATATTATGTGTTAAAATGTGTTAAAATAGTAAAAGTAAATGTATGTTATAATAGTAATTTTTTTTTTTTTGATTTTGGGTTGGAGACGAATCTCTTTCGTGCATTAACACATTTTATTCATATGTCATGTGATTCAAATTTAAAATTTTTTATTTTTATAAAAAAAATTATTATTGAATTATTTAAATTAATACTTATATAAATACTTAATGTTATAGTAATTTTATAGGTCATGTAAGCTAGTTTGTAAGCTTCCTCCCCTGCTTGCCTATAAATAAAGGGTTTAAATACCATTTTGGTCTATCAACTTTCCACTTTGATATCAAAATTGTCTTTCAATTTTAAAAAGTATTAAAATTATCCTTAAACTTTCGTTTTCAATATCAAAATAGTTCTTTCTTCAATTAAATAGACATGCGACACGTTAACCTACTAGTAAATCAATTCTTTTTTTCTTAATTAATGATATGAAAAAAAAAAATCATAGTTAACCTTTTTTTTTTGTGAGTTGATATTTTTATTTAATTTAAAAATAATATTTTTTTTTTTTCATCCACTCATCTGTTCTTCCTCTTACACTTTCTCTCTCCTTTATCTTTCCTTCTCCCTTGCCTCTACAAACCCAAATCTAGGTTCTTGTACTGTAGCGTTCACCATTTCAATAACCAGACCGTTGGAAGCGGAGGATGAAGACGACAGAGGAGCGCGAATGCTCTTGACAGTGGCTCTGTGTTGATTGTACTATAACGTTCTGTTTCTCGTCCCCATGGGACTGCGATCGAGCAGCAAAGCTCAAAAAAATTCAACTCAGCTGGTCGAAGGAGCTTCAACGAGGACGGATCGAGCGCACGTTAACTTGCGTTCTGTTTCTCTTTCTTCTCCCTTCTTCTTCCTCTCCAAATAAAACCCAAATTTGGGTTTTTCTCAAACCCATACCTCCATTTCCATCTTCCACCCCATACCTCCATAGCATAGTTACTTAACATGCTCTCTTCTCCTCCTCTCTCATACTCACTCGTCCTCTTCTCAAAACTCAACATTTCTCTGAACCCACCTCCTATAACCTTACGCCACACCCGATTCTATCCTTCGAGTGTCATCGTCGCAACCGCCAACCGTTATACTTCCAAGGAAGAACAGGGATCTTGTTATTTGAGACCTCAGGGTATGGCATCCTGCACGTCACTGTATGAGGTTCTCGCTATACCGGTGGGAGCTATGGAGATGGATACAGGCGTTGACAAGCAACTAGATGCAGGATTAATTGTTTGGTGGGAGCTAAAATAACTGTTAGAGGTTTTGATTTTGTTCATTTTCTTTTAGCCATTTGGTTCTCAGATGGAGTTGATTATTTTATATGGCTTACCCTATTTTGCAGTCAAATTAGTGAAGACGTTGATACAAAAGTTTGTGTTGAAGTCATTCCATATTATTACACAGAAGAGGATATCCAACATTACTTTGAAGGCTGTGGAACCATAATTGAAGTTGATTGCGTTAAGTTTCCTGACAGTGGGAAGTTCAGAGGAATTGCAATGATTAATTTTAAGGTAATCACCTAGGAAGCAAAGTTTGTCTTAATTGTTATCAAGGTTTGAGCCGAGTTCTGGCAAAGTCGAGGTGTCTAAAGTAGCATTTGTTTAGCTGCAAATGGCAAATTAGAACGGTGCTAGTGCTTCCCATGTCTCGCTAGGTGTGTACAAAAATGTAAAACGACTTCGATGTTGACTTTGTATGGGTACTGGCATCATCTGATTCTTAACGGTGAATGATGATTGGCTTTTGTTTTGGACCCCCTGATATTTTACGTAATTTAGGGCCAGGCGCATTTTAGAAATTCCACGTTGATGGAATTTATACGGATTATCTCCTCCCATGGCCATCATGGTTTGAGAAAAACCCAGATCTGGGTTTGAGAAAAACCCAAATCTAGGTTTGATTTGGAGAGGAAGAAGAAGGGAGAAGGGAGAAGAGAGAGAAAAAGAATAAGAAGAAAAAAGAAGAAGGATGAGCAGGGAAAGGACGGAGGAAGCTTGATAGAGAATGAGGAGGTAAAAATGTGGAAGGAGGAAAAAGATGAAGTTTTTTTTTTTTTTTCCCTTTAGGTCTGAAAAATTGTGACAACAATAAAAAATGTCAAATTTTCTTACCTGCAATTTACACGTCATTAGAATTAAAAAAAATCTGAGGATTTTGTGACATTTAACGTGCCATCTGTCATTTACCTAACGGAAAGATCATTTTGATATAAAAATAAAAGTTTAAGGATAATTTTAGTACTTTTTAAGATTAAAAGATAATTTTGACATCAAAGTGAAAAGTTGAGGGACCAAAATAGTATTTAAACCTAAATAGAGAGAACAGCAAGCACTTTCGTCCAATTCTCTGAGTTAATAAGTAGAACACTTAATTGCTACCAAAGAAATGACATGGACTCAATTGAAAGTATTAAAAAACTTAAGAACTTATTCAGGATTTTTCCTTTCGAAGTCAAAGTCTCACCAGCGGGGATCTTGGAAATTGAGGGTCCTACACGTGTGTATGATGGATTTCCTTTTATTATTAGGAAGGAAGAATTTCAAAATCAGCACTTATACTAGTAAAAATTTTGATTAGTATTTTAAACTCCGGTTGTGTTATAAGAAAAAAATTTTTATATTTCCTTTTGATATAATTTTTATATATCATTAAATGAATAAATGTATTTAATATTATGAATATCACATAAATTAAAAAAATAAATCTTTTAAATAACACATCAGATTATACCAAAAAATAATACAAAAAGATTGCCTCAAAATCATTTTTCTTTAAACTCTTATACTCATATTAGGTGAAGGGGCGATATTATAGAAAGAACTTTTTTATATTACTTTTTAATACAATTTTTAAATGTTAATAAATAAATAGATACATTCAATATCACGAGTTTTATATGAAATGATATAAATGACATATCAAGTTTACCAAAATGTGATATAAAAAGATTATACTAGAATCATTTTCTTATCCCTTACATAAAAAAAAAATTCAGAATCAATAATTTAAATTTTGTGAGTGTAGGGTATAATTGGAGAGGTTAAAAAAAAGGAGCGGGTGGAAGAAGAAGAAGAAGAAGAAAAGCATCATTCTCCTACCATATAGTCTAAAAACAGTGCTCATAATCTAAAGAGTAACATATATCTTATCTAGAGTATACAACACTTTCATATTACAAGTTTTTCTTTCATGCATTATTATATATTGTCTCTAGAGTTTGTTGTGGCAGCGCTATTACTGTTACCACTGTTGTTTTGCTGAACATTTCCGATGATGGAGGTGATGGCTGCCGCTAGAGCTGTAGAAAAGTTGGGACCTGCCGTGATGGCAGCCGTGGCTGAACCAACAGTGTCAGCCATCGAATTTATTGGAATTTGATTATGCATCATGTGAGTAGGAGCATTTCCCAGCTGAGAGCTAAGAAGGCTCAAAAACTGCAAGTGACTGCCGAGCATTTGAGGCACGCTAGCAGGGTTGTAAGGAACATGAACTCGGTTAAGTGGCCTTTGATTGGGGATCTGAGTGAGATCTAATGTAACGGTAGGAAATGGAGCAGAAGCCGAGAGAGTAACCAAGTTTGGAGGGCAAGGATGTATGCTTTTTGCAAAGAAATTCTGGTTGGGGAGTAGTCCATCCGATTCCGAGCTAGGCATTGATCCAGAGAGTAGCATTGATGCCGCAGTGGATATGGTTGAGGCCATTGCCATTGCAGCTGGAGGAAGTGGATGGTTATGATTACCTTCATAAGTGGTCACTAGTATTGATATGTCCTCTGGACACCTTTGTACCTGGATCAACATTAATTAGTTCCTTTCAATCACCACAAAATCATTTTTGACTGACTTAACTTTCTAAAACAAATTTAAAGTAATAGTAATTGATATCAAATGAAGACCATAATATATACATAATTAATACATACCTGTTTGCGAACTGGACAACCAGATCCCATGGTGCATCGATAGTAAGCTCGAGGACAAGGATTTCCTTTCGCCATTTTTTGCCCATATTTTCTCCAATGGCAACCATCAGAAATCTGCGCAGCCAAATTAATATATTAAACTAAGATTAAGAGGCATAATACACGTTCTGTCGGTGAAATTTTCCAATAATTTACACCCATTTATACTGCTAATGTTGACTTCAATCTTTAGAATTTTACTTCAATAAAGTAGGCGCAGCAAACCTGAATCATGTTCTTACTAAAAAGAACGTGCCAGGTATATTATGCGCATGATTATGTTTAATTTCTTGTTCCTTTTTCTTTCTGTACACGAAATATTAATTAAGATAAGGATCAACTAATTTACCACTGTTGTATCAGATCGAACTCGAACAGAGACACGGGCTTTTCTGACGACGGACAAGAACTCTTCTGCACGATCACCATCTCCAGATGAAGAAGAACTGAACTTCTGTCTCTGAATATTTCTGTCCAATTTCCTGTCTGAATTAACTGGAAAAGTTTGATCCCTACTACTCTTCTTCTCCATAGACTCAACTATCGTGTTTTCCATACGCTCCGAGAGTTCTTCACCCTCTTCAAAGGTCATTCTGGATTGACCCAGATCCATGAACTGTCTTGCAACCGGACCTCCTTCGATTCTTTGATTCCTATGTTGTGGGATCAATGTGCGAAGATGAATCTGTAAGGAATGGTAGCTGTTGTTCAGTTGATTAATCATTCCTTTCAACCTTTGATTCTCAATGTTTATTCTCTCCATTTCTGCACGAGCATCTGCTACCTGCTGCACCATCAGCATAACCGAGTTGGTATTTATTAACGTTTCCTGATCATAATCGAAAAATGAAACCTGCATCATAGTATTTCTTACCTGATTCATTATTCCTTTGTCTTTCCTCCCAGAATTTGTCGTTCGAAGATTTAAACTAGTCTATGTGAAACAAGAAAAATAAAAATCAAAAACAAATTGAAGAAAGAGAAAGGATATAATTAATTAGCATGCAAATTAAATTAGAATATGGGTGCATACATTTACATGATGATGAGGTTGAATATTTGAACTCGTCTGTTTCTGGATATCCTGCTTGAGTTCTTTGAGAGATCGGGTGTCAGCGAAGAAATCCAGTTCATTGACTTCTCGTTTCCGTTCAGATACACCAGGAGGAAGAGCATGTTGATGAAGATTGGAAGCAGACAATTCCATGAAAATCTTGGAGCTTCTATATATATATATATATGGAAAGATTATATTCTAAGCAAAGATTATGTAATGAGAGAGGTTTGCTTGGGAAAGGAAGGTAGAAAACCACTGCTGCAAATTGGATTATAGGAAAGGATTATAATGTCAGAGAAGAGAAAATAGGGCTGTTGGAGTGTTTTATAAGAGGAAGAGATGTGAAATGTAAAAGTTATGAGATCAGGTTGTGCGTCAACAAAATACAGGTGGCTGCAATCTATGTTAATAGGTGAGGGATTAGATAGGAGCGTGACCTGCACAATTGGTGCTAATTAGGGCTGACGTATTTAATTAATCATGCACTGCTGATGACAGATTAACATCCACTTTCTCCGTTTCAAATTCTCAATTCACTTGTTACTTTGACTTTACCATTATAATTATTTAGTATTTCCTTTTGGTTCATTTTTAATATATAGATTTAATTTGATATTTTGAATTTTTATATATAAGTTTTAAATAAAAATTTAATATATTATATAAATGGTAATTGAAAATTTTTTAATAAAATAAAATTACTTAATAAAAATTAAGTATAATGATTTTAAAAATGTTAATCATATACTGTATAAAAATATTATCTAAAAATATTTAAAAAAACTTGCATAATTACAATATATTTAGTTTGAGAGAAATGAGGAGAGAAGAGGAGTGATGAGTTTTTTAATAAATCAAATTATAAAATTTTTAAATATTACAATTTAATTAGTCAAAAAATCCATCCCTCCCCTCACCCCTCTCTTCCCCTTCTTCTTTCCTTCAAACCAAAAAATATGGCAAATAAAATCATGAGAAGGAAGAAGTATTACATATACTTAGATAAGTTAAATGTATTTTTTTTTTCTCAACAATGCTTTTTTTTTTTTCTTATCAAATGTTTGATGGAGTTGGAATTAAATTTTCTTTGTATGTAGAGTTGGAATTAATTTTAAAGTTCAAGGAATTTCCCGCTTTAACAGTAAGGCAAGTGAATAAGATTTGGAATGAGGATAACTATGGATTCATAATACCTAACGACGAGAGATTTTATATAGAGAGAGGGAGAGGAGTTAATGTTTATTTATTTTACTTTATAAAAATTAGAAAAAAAAATTATTCTAAAACTACGTTATTTTAGTAAAATTCCATAAAAAAATAAAAATACTCTAATTTGTGGCTTTAAAAATAGGATATTTAAGTTTTTTTTAATAAAAATTTATTAAACGATGTAATTTTGAGATAATTTCCCTTATAATCTTTAGAAAATAAGGCGAATAGACATTTTTTACACACACGTATATATAAAGAATGAGATTTGGAATGAGGAATGACTATTGATTCTTGCATCTTACTATGTAAAGAAAGAGTAAATGGACAATCAAGAGTAGCTTCCAAATCATATATAATGTACTAAATATTGTAAAAATATATGTTGTAACTCAATATTCAATTTCATTTATAATACTACCATTCAACAATAAATAAGCTAATTTCATTTAGAAAAACAATTTAAGCAGTAAGTTTTTCCAAAATAAATAAACTACTCCTATAATAAAAATAGAAATTTATTTATGCACAAATCTTATATGTTATACTTATATAAAATTTTAATCATTTATACCTTAACTTTTAATTATTGAAATTTATTCACTTTTTATTATATTTATTAAAAATAATTATTTTTAATTAAAAAATCGTGATAAATCTCAATTATCAGAAAAAAAATAATTAAAATTTTATATAAATATAATGTGTAAAATTTATATTTAAATAAATCTTTACTCTAGGAGTATTTTCATATCTTTTCAAAAAAAAAAAAAAACTACAGTAAGGTTTTTCCTTTTTTATTTTTTTATTTTGAAGAACAAGCAAATAATAGTATATGGTAACGCATTCCTCCTTGTTGGGATTTAGAAAAAAAAACGTGTTGCCATGGCCGTGGAGAAGATGGCTTTGACCGATTCAACAAAAGAATCTGCTCTGATTGGCATCCCCGTCTTGCACACGTGACGCTGAAACGGATAGAATCAACGACATAGACGGCTACCATTCTCTATGACTGCTCACTGGGCCCACTAATTTCCTTTGACTGGTCAACATTTCTTCTTGTTACATAAGTAATAAAAAAAAATTTTTTTTGTGAAGTACAATACAATTTAAACGTAAAATGAAAATAATTGAATAAAGTATAATTTTCAGTATTAGAGGCTGCTCTCCATATAGTTTATGTTGGTGAAAATAGGAAACTTTATAATTAAAGCTAATTATAAATGACAATGTATTAAATTTAAAAGTGTATCAATTATTTTTTATAATTAAAAATAAATTTACAAGCATTTATTATTTTGTAATTCAAAATAAAATATAAATCATTGAATGAACGCAACCCCAATATCATTGAATCCATTTTCATCCAAAAATTTTTGTTATATAATTTAGTATAATTTAGTTTGTACAATACTTTTTTAAATTTATTACTAACATTTGAAAATACATACTGTATTTTTTTTTACAATCAGAATATATAACAAGTGTAGTCATCTCATTTTCCAAAATATTGTTCACTCGTCTCATTGTTTGGAGGTATAATTCCAGTTTTTAACATTGTAATATTCTTGATCGTAGAGGATTGAAAATAAGTGTTGATCACGCAGTAAGGTAACGTCTGAAGTCCATGAGGCAGTCAGGCTGCGATTTCTTTGTCGCGCTTTGCTGCGCATGGTACATGGAAGATAAGTGATACATTAATGAAAATGACACATAAGCTTTCTTAAGGTAAAAGCAATTGTCTTATTTCTTAAATGTGGCGGTGGATCATTTTTCTCTTAACTTACTTCATGATGCATAATGGTTAGTTTTTAATTCAAGTAATTAACAAGTGTCATTACTTCAAATATGTAATCAGTCTTATTAATTGAATCAACTACTATGATGTGGAACAAAGAAATGATGTCATAGAATTTGGAAGTTTAAAGCAAAGTAATATTTGTCAACAAGGTAGTTGAAAGGATGAAGAAGAAAGGATTTAGTCTCATTGTTGGCATGACTACGTAAATATATACTACAGATATTAAAATGATAATGGAAATTTTAGCAATAGATCTCAACCACAAAACTAATAAAAGTTTAACACAAAAAAAAAAATAATTAAGAAAAATGGGTCATGGTTTTTTTTTTTTTTTTTGTGAATTTTTCTTTTTGTTTAATATCATTGTTATTTTTGGATTTTTTTTAATTTCTTTTAAATTTAATA